TGGGGCGGGGGAAGGGAGTGGAGGGGATGGGAAAAAAATTAGCCAAAGAACATATATGCATATATGCATAACCCATGGACACAGACAATAGTGGGGGAAGGCCTGGAGTGGGGCAGGGGTAGTGTGGAGGAAGAAAAAAGGGGCAAAATGAGGGACATCTGTAATACTGTCAACAATTTTTAAAAAGATACAGGATTCCAGAGGGTGGGTGAGCCGGATTCTTGACAGTGGGGTAATGCTTTTCCCCATGCTGATGGCGCTGGGGGGTGATTGCTCCTTGCAGGAAAAATGGCTGCTGTGGAATGGGGAGATCGCCCAGCACAGGGATCCATGCAGCCACTCTGCCAGGTCTCTTCCCAGTCTCTCCTCAGGTGATTTCAGTCCACATCACCCTCTCTCTGCTGGAGCCCAGGGGGAGCGGCTGGCAACAGTTTTGCACATTGGCCCTTTAAAAGGGTCGCTTTTTCTCCAGCAGGCCCCCCTCTCCTTGGCAGAGAGGAACCCCTCAGCCTTTCACAGGTAGATGCTACGTGGGAACTGTTCCCCACAAGGCTGGTGATGCAGGCTGGGAGTGTGGTCTGGGATCTAGGTTTCAGGCCTCACAGGTTAACCTCCTGCAGTTGAGCTATCCCTTCCCTAACCTTGGCCGGTCTCCCATGGGATGGGGCCAGTTTCTTACACGTCTAGCCCTTCCTAACAGTCTTGAGGTGGCTTCTTCTGCCAGTTGTTGGCATTCAGGTTGTCTTTAGTGGGTAATTCAGGGTGATTGTTCCCTAATTTAGTTGTGATTTCCAGTTCTCTTCTGGGAGCAAGCAAGGTCCACCTACCCCACTGCCATTTTGAACCCTGCCCATTTATCAGTTGGATTATTTGTCTTGGTGTTAAGTTGTATGAGTTCCTGCCGAAACCGGTTTGGCTCAGTGGATGGGGCGTCGGCCTGCAGACTTAAAGGTCCCAGGTTCGATTCCGGTCAAGGGCATGTACCTGGGTTGCGGGCACATCCCCGCTGGGAGATGTGCAGGAGGCGGCTGATCGATGTTTCTCTATCATCGATGTTTCTGACTCTCTGTATGAGTTCCTTATATGTTTTAAAAATTAACCCTTTATCGAATGTGCTCTCCCATACAGTGGGTTCCCTTTTCATTTTATTGATGGTTCCTTTTGTTGTGCAGAAGCTTTTGATTTTTTAAAATTTATTTGTTGTTGACACTATTACACATGTCCCCCATTTTTGCCCCCCTTTGCTCACTTCTACCCAACCCGCACCCCCAGCCCCCAGTACCATTTGTTTAATTTTTCTTTGTTTCCATTGCCCTAGGAGATATATTGGCAAAAATATTGCTATGAGAGATGTCTGAGACTTTACTATCTCCGATTTCTTCTAGGATTTTTATGGTTTCCTGACTTTTATCCATTTTGAGTTTATTATTGTATATAGTATAATTTGGTGGTATATTTTCATTTTCTTGCATGCACCTGTTCAAGTTTCCCAATATTATTTATTGAAGAGACTGTCTTACTTCATTGTATGCTCTTGGCTTCTGTATCCAATATTAATTGTCCAAAGCGGCATGGGTATATTTCTGGGCTCTCTGTTCTGTTCTACTGACCTACATACTTGTTCTTATACCAATATCAGGCTGTTTTGATTACAGTGTTCTGTAGTATAGTTTTATTTCAGGTCTTTTGATATCTCCAACATTGTTCTTTCTCAAGATTGCTGCAGCTCTGTGGGGTCTTTTTTGGTTCCATATACATGTTTTGAATATTTGACCTAGACCTGTGAAATATGCCATTGGTATTTTAATAGGAATTGTGTTGAACTCTCGACTGTTTTTAAACCCCACCTTGGTTTCTTGTGTTTTAGCCTGAGAGGAAGTTTGGCGTGGTGGTGGTGGGCGTTGGCAGAGCCGGCTCTGTGCGGATGAGAGACTTGCGGAGCGCGGTTCCATATACATTTTTTGGATATTTGACCTAGACCTGTGAAATATGCCATTGGTATTTTAATAGGAATTGTGTTGAACTCTCGACTGTTTTTAAACCCCACCTTGGCTTCTTGTGTTTTAGCCTGAGAGGAAGTTTGGCGTGGTGGTGGTGGGCGTTGGCAGAGCCGGCTCTGTGCGGATGAGAGACTTGCGGAGCGCGCATGCTTCCTCAGCGTTCCTGAACCTGATTGGCTTCGTGTCCAGGTGGCTCACACTTGCTTTTCACCTTGTAATTCGTGGGGAGCCCACTGGGATGGAGAAGGCCTGGGGATACGGAGGTTCTCGTGACCCAGGAGAGAGAATCAGCTCCAGAGTTTTCCAGAAAACTTTGCTCAGGGTTAGTCCCACAAGATCTCAAGTTCGGATAGGTCTGGGAACTGAAGCATGCTGGGATGAGCAGTGCACCAGCCTAGAAGGGACTACAGAGGCAAAGGAGGGAAGATGAGCACAGGGCCTGTAGTTACACAGCAGGCACAGGGAACACAGGGAGAGCTGGCCTGAAAGAAGGCTTCAGGTGTGCAGCAGTTAATCACTACGTCACTTATCCACGCGGTAGCCCTGAGCTTTCTGAGCCTTACCGACCATTTGACATAGATACCATTACCATTATCAACTCCACCTTTAAGAAATTGAGCCACTTTTTGAAAGGTTGAGTCATTTGCCTGAGGTCGCACAGCTGGAAAGTCTAAGAACTGGACTTGAATGTAGGTCTATTTGAGTCCAAGGCCCGTCTTTAAATACCATGTGTTCTTTTTCCTTTGGTAATTTTGAGCCCCACTTTTGGGGAGCTTCATTTCTGTCGTGTCAAAATCAAACTTATCACCATTTGTATTATTTATTGCCCCATTTCAGCTCTTTTCTCCACCCCTCACTGCTTTCTCACACACATATTGCTCACCAAACTAATGCTATGTAACATCATTTATCAATATTAATTGTGAACTAGCTGCAGGCATTGTGTTGGCTGAGGAAATGTGCTGGTGAGTAAGGTAGGCATGTCTCTACTTTCTAGTGCTTTAGAGAAATCAAATAAATACGTTTAGAAAGCATAATTAACTATTTGATAGTCCATGCAGATTCTTTTATTTATTCATTTATTAAATTTGTTTATTTAAATATATTTTTTATTGATTTTAGAGAGGAAGGGAGAGGGGGAGAGAGAGATAGAAACATCAATGGTGAGAGACAATCATTGATTGGTTGCCTCCTGCACACTCCCTACTGGGGATCGAGTCTGCAACTTGGGCATGTGCCCTTGACTGGAATCGAACCCGGGACCCTTCAGTCCGCAGGCCGATGCTGTATCCCCTGAGCTAAACCAGCTAGGGCCATGCAGATTCTTTTAATATTTTAATTTATGGGGCCTACTTTCTTCCAGTTTGCCTGTCTCAAAATTTGGCTATTCCTTTAAATATTTAAAGTGGACTTTGGGTCACTAGGGTGACTCAGAAGTGCTGGGAATCTGCGGATGGTCAATCCTCCCCTCCCAGTAAGATTCTAAGGGAGCTGCATACAAATGGGAGGTCAAAAGTACCATTAGCCACACTGTAACGCCCGCTGTGGCCCGGTTTGAAGCTCTCATTGAGCATGATGTAGTGAAGTTTCTCCTTTTTGCCTAAGCCTCAGCCCTCTGCCAGCCGGCTGCCATGGCTGATGCAGTGGGAATTCCTAAAGTCCCCAGGTTGTGTGGGAAGATGGCCAGCTCATACCCACTGCTTTCCTGCACCCTTGCCATTGTCACACTTTTCCCCTGCTCACCTACCCTGTTCCTCACCGTCTATCTGCTAAGTCCTACCTTCTCCCCAGGAGGCCTTTTCTGAAACCCTAAACTTGATGTTTCCTGCCCTCCTTGAGTCTCCCACATGTACTCCTGCACCACAGTTCTCATGTTAGACCTGTGTTGTTGTTATTGATGGGTATGTGACTTCCTCTCTCTACAAGACTGTGAGCTCAATAGACGCTGCGGACTTTTAGTTTATTCTTTATGATCCTCCCCATGGTGCCTAGCACACAGTCGGCAAACAATAAGTATTGGTCAAATGGAGCAGTGTAGATTGGGCAGCCCCCATAGGAAGAAACCTACCATAATCTCTTTTGGCAGCCAAACTGGCCCAAATGCCCTCTGACTGCTGCAACTTAAGTGGAGCTCTGCGATGGATGGGAGCCCTCTGCTGGCCGCCCCATCTCCTCTGTTACATCCTTCATCAGAGTACTGCTCTGTTGCCCCAGCCTCTGCAGGAGGGTAGGGTGCAGAATGCCAGGATCCTCAGATCATCTAAATAAGGAGTTTCTTCTTACCCTGTAAGAGTCAAAAGGCTTAGGGTTCCTGTCCTGCTTCTGCGACTCATTAGTGGCAACTACTGCCCCTCTGGGCTTTGTCAGCTCACCTGTAAAGGAAGCAGTGATACCTGCCTTCCATTGACCATCACAAGGCCACTGATGGTTGTGAAGGAGCTTGAAGTCACACAGCAATTTGCACCTCTAAGGTGTTAATATATGGGATTTGAGTTAGGTTTGGTAGCCATAGTGTTTGGCCAGGTACTTGGAGCTGGCAGTGACCATAGGGATTATTCTTCTTGAGGAAAAAGATCAATTATTTTTATTTTAGATATTAAGTGATTCAGAGACTTCCACCTCACACTGGTTGTTAGCAGTAGTATCAGCACTTATTGCCCGGTCCCCTGACTTCAAACCTGAGGCTGTTTTCTCTCCATCACGGAAAATGTCCTGAAGTGTGGGAATAAGTTAATTTTTTCTCTTCCTAAGGAAGATCATCAAAACATTTCTGGGAGGAGGGAGAAAGATGATGCTCGTTTATTCTAAGTCGATGTCTGTCTACTTTTAAGTTCCATTTCTGTTATTTTCAAACAGGCGCGAGCTCAAGTGCATTGATGAAGTCCAGCAGATTTCTTTGGAAGATGCTCTTTCTAGCAAAGAGGTTGACGTTGCTTATATCTGCAGTGAAAACACCAGCCATGAGGACTATATCAGGTGGGTTTCAGTGCAGGCAGTCCTGGCCTTGCACAGTAGTTCAGGACTGTAAAAATGACTGGGTAAGCTGAAGTCTCACAAATGGGTCTTAATAGTCAATGGGGAAAATTACAGTGGATCCATCACCTTTAAAAATTGTCGTCTGGGGGGATGAGTTGTGTGGAGGAGAGCAAAGAGGGGAGAATGGAGGATATACTATATAATAAAAACCTAGGTGGTGTCATGCAAGGGCGACATCATCATAAGATGGCCAACACAAGATGGCTGGCAGGGGAGGGAATCTGGGGGCGACCAGCCTGCAGAGGAGGGCACTTGAGTACGACCAGGTTGGCAGGGTCTTGGGTATGACCAGACCGGCAGGGGAGGGCATTTGGGGGCAAACAGGCCTGCAGGGGAGGGCAGTTGGGGGCAAACAGGCCAGAAGGGGAGGGCAGTTTGGTAGCAATTGGGCCAGAAGGGGAGGGCAGTTGGGGGAAACCAGGCTGTCAGGGGAGCAGTTAGGTGTCAATCAGGTCAGCAGGGGAGCAGTTAGGGGGCGATCAGGCTGGCAGGTAGAAGCAGTTAGGGGCAATCAGGCAGGCAGCAGGGGAGCAGTTAAGAGTCAGCAGTCCCGGATTGTGAGAGCAATGTCCAACACAGGGATCGGGTCTAAACCAGCAGTCGGACATCCCCCAAGGGGTCTCAGATTTGGGAGGGTGCAGGCCGGGCTGAGGAACAACCCTCTCCCCCACATCCCTCCCCTTCCCCGTGCACGGATTTCATGCATTGGGCCTCTAGTGTGTAATAATGTCAACAATAAAAAGATGATCAAAACTTTAAAAACATTCCTATTAGTTATAAATGTGTAAGGAAGTGAAAAATATAGTAAAGTTAATACTTCTTTAATACACTATGATTTAAAACATTAGAAATATTAAGAATGAAAGTGTTTTATTTCTTTGTAAAAAAATGTATTGAGAGTAGTTTGAACACTGTTTGCCTTTTTCTCATCATATAACTTAGGAAATAAGCCAGCATCTTTTCTGTGCCTTGGTGAATTGCCATCGTTTATTCTAAGTTTGGAAAAGCTTAAAAAATTTTATCCTTTGCACTTTCAACATCTGAAATATCTCTGAGAGCTCCTTTAATATGAAGTGGTTCTACCATGAGATAAGAAAGGAAGTAGTGGTGGCATCAGAGAGGGGAGATGACTGTTTATAAAACAAGAGAGTTGAGGTGTCCCCCTGCCCCACCTTTGAGTGAAAAGCCTAGAGCCCTGCAAGCATTCAATGGGATTGAGCCTGGAAGGTGGAGCCCAGGTAGGACCTAGCCAGCTGTCTCCCTGAGTCTCAGCTTCCCTTCTAGGTCCTTACATTAAACTGCATCTGCTGTTCCCAGGAGCAAGGTGCTCCCTCTTTATCATGCCGATTGGTGTGTGGACAGAGTGTATTTAGGGGAAAACCTTTCTTTGGTTTTCCTTAACTGTTTTTGGTACCAGAGAGGTGTTTTCTTTAAAAAAAAAAAAAGTGATCATATAACTATATGCTTATACAGTTGACCTTTGAACAACACTGGTTTAAACCGCACAGGTCCACTGACATGTAGATATTTTTAAATAAATACCTTTAAATTTTTTTGGAGATTCGAGATAATTTGAAAAAATTTGTAGACAAACTGTGTAGCCTAGAAAATATCAAAAACTTTAATAAAAAGTTAGGTATGTCATGAATGCATTAGATACATATAGATAATAGTATATTTTATCATTTACTACCATAAAATATTTACAAATCCTATATAATAAAGAGTTAATATGCTAATTAGACCGAACAGCAGAACAACTGTCCAGGCAACGTTCCAGATGAGGGCTGGCTGAGGCTGCGACGGGCTTCAAGGTCTGGCCGAGGCAGCCGGGGATGCAAGAGCCAAGCCCCTTGTATGAATTTTGTGCCCCTTATACGAAGTCTATTATAAAAAGCCAAACTTTGTCCAAACTTAATCACACAAGCACAATTGTAAATGGTACCATTCACAGTTGAGAGAAATGTAAACAAATGTAAAAATGAAGTACTAAATCATAACAGTATAAAATTAACTGTAGTACATACTATATCTATACTAATAGAAGGGTAATAAGCTAATTAGCCTGGATAGCCCGGATGTCTTCCGGACGTCCTTCCAGACAAAGCCACAATGGCGGAGGCTGAGGCAGAGGCAGTTAGGGTTGATCAAGCTGGCAGGGGAGAGCAGCTAGGGGCGATCAGGCCAGCAGGGGAGAACACTTAGGGGTGATCAGGCAGGCAGGCAGAGGCAGTGACCTCACCACCACTGTCCTTGTCCATAGGTGTATGATTTTTGTCCAGTCTCTTCCTGCACCCCCCACACCCCTTTCCCCCAAAGAATTGTCAGTTCACTCCCTTTCTATGCCCCTGATTCGTCAGATTTTTTTATTCACTTGATTTTTACACTCACTTGTTGATAGATAAGTATTTGTTGTCACTGTGTTGTTCATAATTTTTATCTTTACCTTTTTCTTCTTCCTCCTCTTCTTAAAGGATACCTTCTTAAAGGATACCTTTCAGCATTTCATATAATATCTGACCTTCAATTAGAAATGATAGCTTAGCTGGATAGAGTAATCTTGGT